GGTAAGGGCAGAGAGAGAGAGAATCAGGGGATCCAAAGCGGGCTCTGTGCTGATAGCAGCGAGCCTGATGTGGGACTCAAACTCAGAAACTGTAAGATCATGATCTGAGCCAAAGTAGGACACCTAACCAACTGAGCTACCCCAGGTGCCCCAGGAAACATTTTTTTTAAGTTTATTTATTTTGCGAGAGAGAGAGAGAGAGAGAGAGAGCAAGCGAGCATGTGCTCAAGTTGGGGAGGGGCAGAGAGAGAAGGAGAAAGAGAGAATCCCAACGCAGGGCTCAAACTCACAAACCACGAGATCATGACCTGAGCTGAAGTCAGACACTTAACCGACTGAGTCATCCAATTGCCCCTCAGGAGGCATTTTTTGATCATCTCATTTCATGATACTGTTCTATCTCGGTTTCCTGCTGTGTCTCCTTCTTTTATTCTAGGTTCTTCTGCAGCTACCGTTGTAACTGGTTGTACACCACAGTTTACTTCTTAGCTCTCGCTTCTTTGGGAGGCCTGGGAAGAGGCTGAGAAATACCGGGCGTGGTAGTAGTTGGGGAAGTGAGTCTTCACAGGATACCCCTTTGACTTCCTAGATTTGGAAACCCTATCATCTTCGTCTCACTTGCTTTTCAGGCTTGCCTCCTAAGGGAAAGAAAGCCTGGTGCTGGGCGTCCTACCTGGAAGAGGAAAAAGCTGTGGCAGTGCCAGCAAAGCTGTTCAAGGAGGTATGGGCACTTCTAGAAAGCATTGTCTATAAGAGAGAAGACTCTGGAATTCTGATCTGGAATTAGCATTGATGTTTCCAGTATGTGTTTGGGAAATGTGACTTGGGATCATTTCTCAAGCATACTGTTTTCATGAGTGTATTTACACGGAGGAGTAACTCCAAGGGCAACTGACGTGCATGTGTACTCACAGTCCTCCAACACACACGGATGGGCCCACATGCAGATGCACATGCTCTTTCATCTCGATATTTACTGGGATTTCATTCTTGACTTTTAAGAGGGATACCTCTACTATTGCTGCAAAGCTAGTAGATAAAGAAAAACCGGCATGAAATTTCGTGTCAACATTATGGCTTTGGGAGAAACAAAAACGAGTGACTGAGGTTTATATGATTTCTCAAGAAAAACCTAAAAGCATGTTACCGTGTTACATTAACTGTAGTAAAAACATTTTGTCATAAGTGATTTAAAATCAGTTCGAATTATAGACACCAAGTGAAGTTCTGAGTAGGGGCTGCTGCCCCTGGGCTGAAGGGGCGGGGGGGGGGGGGGGGGGGGGGGGGGGGTCAGCAAACTTATTCTGTGAAAGAGCCAGAAGGTGTGTGTGTTAGGTTTTGTGGGGCATCAGGTCTCAGTTGCAGTGACTCAGTTATGTTGTTGTAATGAAAGCAGCTATAGACGATATATAAGTGAAGGGCTACGGCTGTAGTCTACTAAAACTTTACTTACAAAAACAGGTTGAGGTTTGGAGTTGACTGAGAGAGGATAGTTTGCTGAACCCTGATTTAAATTATTTAATTATATTTAATCATGGTACATAATAAATCTGTTGATACCTTGGTATATATGCATTAACATAGGGAGTTTTTGTTTTGTTTTTGAATTTTTTAGTGTTTTATGTGTTTTTAAGAGAGAGCGAGCGAGCATGGGGGAAGGAGAGGCAGAGAGAAAGGGAGACAGAATCAGAAGCAGGCTCCAGGCTCTGAGCTGTCAGCACAGAGCCCGAAGCAGGGCTTGAACCCACGAACCACAAGATCATGACCTGAGCCAAAGTCGGCCGCTCAACCAACTAAGCCACCCGGGTGCCCGGACATGGGGAGTTTTAAAAAAGTGAACAAAGAGTCGATGTTATAATGATTACATCTACATTGAGAATATTATTTAAACATAACTGTAATTACATATGAACTTGTTCTATATAATTATTTTCTGTAATTTTGATTCTTTGTAGACTAGACCTTTTTACATGTAAAAAAAAAAAAAAAGCTTAAATGCAGCTAATTACTCGAATCAGTAACACAGTCATGTAATCGACACTATAAAAGTACCAGAAGAATATGCAGTATGTCCCTCAGAGCCCTACCCTCCAGGTCCCAGCTCTTCCTCTCCTGAAGTGATTATCATGGCTCGCTCTTATATTCCCTTCTTACAAAATTCTGTGTCCAGATCAGCACAGACAGACACAGATCCTGTCCTCCCTGTCATCAACCAAGGGGTAGCATATGTCACACATACTGTGTGTGTTTTTTTAGGCTTTTTTTTTTTTAACTTAGTTTGGAAATCTCAGTTCGTTATGCCCTTCTTCATTCTTCTATAATAGTGCATCGTATGGCATCTTAGGTCTGTTCCATAACAAGTTAAGCTACTCCCTATTGGTTGGCTTGTGTGTGTGTGTTAGTATAGGACACATATATCACACACACACACAACACACACACACGTATGTTTTAGTGAATAGCCTTGTACACCTGTCATTTTGCACACCTGTGGATATCGCTGTGCACTAATTTCCTAGAATTAGAATTCCTGAGACAAACAGAACGTCCTGTTTTATAGATATTGTGAAATTGCTACGGGTTGTGCCACTTTAATCCCTGCTCGTGATGTACGTATGTGCCTGTTTCTCTAGAGCTTTGCCACCACTGTGTAATCAAACATTGTGATCCTTATGAATCTGATTAGGTAACATATATTTGAGTGTAATTTTACTTTGTATGACTCTTACGAGTGAGGTTGAAAATCCCCTTTCTTTTGGGTTTTTAAGAGTTGTTTATGTATTTGGTTAGTCTTTATTTAAGAACGTTAATAATTCACACTTTAATTAGGCCTTCAGGATAACATACTAAAACTGCTGTCATTTTGCATTTTAGTATCAATCCTTTCCATATAACAAAAATGGGTTTAAAGTTGGCATGAAATTAGAAGGTGTGGACCCCGAGCATCAGTCCGTGTACTGTGTCCTCACTGTGGCTGAGGTAAGTTTGCTTTGTCTTTATTTCTGCAATAAAATGGTGGTTATGGGATTTTAATAATGGGGACAAGTGCCATCTGTTGAGTACTTCTTTGCACCAGGCATGATGCTTATTGCTTTGTACGTGACCTCATTGAATCTTTGTAAGATTCGTTTGTAAGCTTTGCAGGTCCTGTTTTTTCATCCCTGTTTATTGATAAAGGAACTGAGGTTCAGAGAGGCTAAGTGACATATACAAGGTCACACAGCCTCAAAGTGGTAGAACCAGGATTTGACCCCACGCTATCTGACTCCATAGCTTTGGTCATACTGTGGTTCCTTAATATAGAAAAACAGACCAATAGGTACTTATAAACTTTTAATTTTTTAATTTTTTGGTTTTTTTGTTTCAAGTTTTATTTAAGTTCCAGTTAATTAACATATAGTGTACTGTTAGTTTCAGGAGTAGAATTTAGTGATTCATCACTTAACACATAACACCCAGTTCTCATCCCAACCAGTGCCCTCCTTAATGCCCATCACCCATTTATCCCATCCCTCCACCCTCCTCTCCTCTAGCAACCCTCAGTTTGTTCTCTACAGTTTGCCCCTCTCTCTTTTTTTCCCCTCTATGTTCATCTGTTTTGTTTCTTAAATTCCACATATGAGTGAAATCGTATGGTACTTGTCTTTCTCTGACTGACTTCCTTTGCTTAGCATAATACTCTAGCTCATATACTTTTTTTTAGTATTTTGAGGTATCTGTGAAATTTTTCAGGAAAAATTGTCCAAGTCTATTTACATATAGCTTAGTCTAGTATATTCCTGAGAGCACTTCTTAGAATTTGTTTTTTTCTTCCTGTGCTAGCATCCGACTTCCTTCCTCCCTTGAGCCAGGGGTATGTATCACTTGAAAATTCCCCCCAAAAGAGTAAGGTGGTCTTGTGTGTTAGTTTCAGTTATCGTAGTATTCCCATAGTAGCTTAGGGAATTTGTAAGAAGCGTGGCTCCTGTGGAACACAGTGACATCTCCTACATGGACCATGACAGTTACAGTAAATAATGATACATGGTTACGTAGAGAGTACCATAGGACAATACCGTGCTTAGTATTTTCGCTAGTTCCCCACAAACAGTTGAGACAGCATTGTTCAGTAAATGTAGAAGCAGATTCAGTAAGTGTGGACTGCTTTTGAGAAGTTTAGTTGCAAAAAAGAAGGGGATCTTTTTAAGGGGGGTGTGTGTGTGTTTCAACTCTTGATTTTGAAGGAGATCTATTTTAGTTCGTCCAGTCTTTTATTATAACAGTAATGTTTGCTCATCATGAAAACTTCAACTAGTGTAAGAATATATATAAATATATAAATATATGTATTTATTATAAAAAGTAAAAGTTCTCTATCACACCACCTTCTTTTCCTTATTCCATATCCCAGAGTTAATGACTCTTATGTGTTTCCTGCGTTCCCTCCAAATGTTTTCTCTGCTTGTAAAAATATGTACATTTTTCTCTTTTTTACATGTAAATTGCACAACAGTTCTGAAGCTTGCTTTTATGACGGTGTATCGTATATTTTACATGCATATTGTTTTCCACCATCGAGTAGTAGTGCATTTTACTTATTTTCTGTTATTCATTTAATTTCTCTCAGATGGATGAACAATTGAGTGGTCTTTACTTTCTCATTGTTCTCATTATTACAGACAGTGCCTTGTGAGCATGATTAAAATGGAAATTGTTGATGCGCACAGCTACTTGTTGTTCCAAAAAGTTTATCAGTTGTTACAAAAAAAGTTTAACAGTTGTATGAGAATTTGTTTGCCTAAGCCTGAGAGATAGTCTCTATTTACTTTTCTTTGTCTTCCTCCCCGCCCCCCCCCTTTTTTTTTTTTTTTTTTTTTTTTTTTTTTGCAATGGGAAGAGATTGGAGAATGAATTCTGAAAAAAAAGCAACTAGGGAGCAGAATATTGGAAGGTTCAGAGAGAGCAGATCATTGATAAGGAGGGGATATGGGAAGATGAAATCCAGAGTACATGAGGAGGCCCACCCATTAGCCAGGAGCAGGACTCTCCTGTTGGGTTCTAACAGGGTGGGGGGTGGGGAGGATGTGCACATGCACGGGCAGGTCTGCTAGTTTGGAGACAGATGTGTGAGGGAGCTTCTTTGTCACGGAAGGTCACGTGAAGGTGTAGCTGAAGGAGGGTGAAAGGGCTGTTGTGAAGGATGGGAGTAGAACTGGACAGGGCCATCTAGAAGGATTGCCACACAGCAGGGATGGAACAGGGAGTGTCTGCCGTCCAGGTGCATGTGATTCTCATTTGTGGTAGTTGTAAGCCATGAATCGCAAATCCTGACCGTTGCTTCAAGGATTAGGTTCCCAGGAGCTTCTGGTCACATTTCCATCAGCCGAACAATATGTAACCTTGTTCATGTATATTTGTGTTTAGTGACATCTTCTTTAATATCTGTTGTTGGTTTATTAACATGGGGCTCAGCCAACAGCACCATAACTCAACGCCTGATGAAGTTGCCCTAACACACATCTTCTCCTTAAGGCGCGTCATCGCCTTCTTGCACTTAGGAGCACCAGCCAGCGCTTCGGCACTGTGCTCGGGGGCCGTTCCAAATAGCAGAATCACCCACAGGAAGCACAAATGTGAAAAACATAGCAGTAAGTAGATTGTGCACAGGGTGTTCAGCGTACAGAATGAGATGTAAAACAAGAAGGCAGAGAGAGCATTGCCTTCTTCGACCTGAGCCGGGAACTCGCATGATAGGCGGCTCACAGTTTTCGCCGCTCTGTGCGTGCATCTGTTCCCAGACACTGTGGGTACAGATGTTATCACGTAGGTGAAATCGCAGCTAGGAAGTCACGAATAATAAGGGTTAAGTGTGTGTCTTCTCCCCCTCCCCGCCCCCCAGCAACATTCCCTAGACCAGGTATAGGTGCAGACTAGGTGGGTACTTGGGATAATGGAATTTTGCCAGGCATGTATTTTGGGAAGGAGGGAAGGACCTCGGGGCAACAATCTAAAGATGTTGGCAAGAAAATGTTTTCTGTGATTGCTAAGGACGGAAGGCCCACGGTGGCCAGGGGATGCTAGGGGAAAAGTAGAAGAACCAGCGTGAGATGCTGGACTTCTCATTGAGGTTGAGGAGGAAGTGTATAGGGAGTAGCTGGGTTAGCCAGCTGAACAGGAGGATGTCTTCACAGGGCTGGACGCTTCCATAGTTGAGAGGCAGTGTAGTTTCTCCTGGGACAAGATTCATGAGAGTGTTTGAAGTGGAGAGGAAATGCAGGGAGCAGAGGAGCCAAGGTAGAGGATGAGTCATCCGTGTGTATGGCAGAACCACTCAGGATGGAGATGAAGAGAGTAAGCCAGAGCTTCGTGTCTGATGAGTGAGAAGGGATGTTGGGGAGGACAGCATGTGGGCTGATAAGGATGAGGTGGTGCAGCCACATTTCAAGGTACTCAGAGGAGCAGGGACCCTGGAGTGTGGCGCGGCCTGAGGCAGTAACCCTGCCTGGGTCTCAGAGGGAAGGAGGGGGAGAAGGAGCAGTCTCCACCTGAGGGAAGCCTTGACAGGGATGTGTGACATACGCTTTTGAACAAGGAGGCTGAGGATGTAGGAGGTTGTGTACCAAACCAGAGGGTTCCAGAGAGCACAAGACACAGTGGAGAGATTGTGGGGCCAGGAGGGAGAGGTTGACTTGGGAGGTGAAGCTCAGAGCAGTCGAACCCAGAGGGACTAGAGGGTTAAGGCACTCAGGAGGCTTGTTTCTTGGGCATTGACCAGAGTAGGTTGGCGTAGCTCTGGGGCTAAAGAGAGGAGCGGCCGCCGAGCTCCTTCTGGACGCGGGGTGGACATGGGGCGGGGGCCGTCACTTACTGTTTACGAGAGATTGTACCTGCCTGGAACCCCACCTTGGCTGTGCAGAGGGACTCTAGTCTCCCTGGAGAGGAGTCCGCTCACTCGTAAACCTTATATATGTAACGTATCAAGACATTCCAATTGAAAAAATACTAACATATGAGATAAACTATAAAAAGCCCATCATTTCCTTTTGACCTCTCCCTTTTCACTCCCACTCCTCAGAATAAATCATTGTTAATATTTTGGCATATATTCCCAGACGTTTTACTACTGTGAATTTACATTTATAGGCGTACGTGTAAGTACATACGTAAATGTGCATGTATAAATACATACACGTATATGTATGTGCACACGTAATGGCACGTGTACACATACACATAAAAATCTACATAGATTCACACAGAAGTAATTTTTCTCATAAACTGACTCATCCTGTGCAGTTTGTTTTACCGCTTGAGTTTTTGTAAAGTTTACTATTTTGAGAGAGAGAGAATGCGTGTGCATATGTGTGCCCACGTGCACATGCAAGTGGGAGAGGAGGAGAGAGAGCAACAGAGAATCCCAAGCAGGATCCACCTGACAGCACAGAGCCTGACTTGGGGCTTGAACTCACAAACCTGTGAGATCATGACCTGAGTTAAAATCAAGAGTCCGATGCTTAACTGACTGAACCACCCATGTGCCTCGCCACTTGAATTTTAACAGTATGTTTCAGAGAACTTGCCATGGCAGGAAATAGACAGCTGCCTTATTATCTGGGGGTTGTTAATTGCCCTGGTTCTGTGCTCTAGTCTCAAGCTTCTTCTTCCGGCTTCTACAGGGCCAGGTGCTCCTGGCGTGTTGAGACATCTGGTGCGTTGTGTGGTTCCACTTGAACACATCTGCTGTGCTAGTAGGAAGTAGATTGAGAGGCTGAACTTCTCATAAGAGCCCAAGGCAGAGTGTGACCCAGCTGAAGCCTCAAAAACCCATGTGACCTTTTTAAGTCAGAACTTCCTCAAGAGGGACCCTTTAGGAAGATGTATGGCCTCAGCATTCAACCCACATTCCGTGAAGTGGGTTCTTACTGGCATTCCAGGGAACCTGTGAATTGAGGAAGGCTTTTCTTTCTTTCTCCCAACCCAGCTACTCGTGGAGAGGAGAATCTGTTGATATCCCTCCGTGTACCGCCTTGGTCTGGCTGCATATCCCTGTCTGCAGAGCTTTATACAGGATAGGAGCCAGCATTCACACGGTGTATGGCAGGGCGCCCACCCCGGGACTCTGCTGGAGCTGCGCACCCGTGCTGGGCTGGCTCCATCCCGGCCGGCTCACCTTGGTGACTTATGCTGGTACAATATCAAGAATGGAGGGAGGACATGTACATGTGGGAAAATCATTCTTCTCCCAGGATCTGTGTGCTCCTGACACAACTGGGAATGAGGCCAAAGCAATGCGGCTCAGCTCTTCCCAATGCGTTGCCTTTGCCTTTAGAGGTTGGCAGTTTGTTCACTGGATTTTGTGGCTGTTAGTGAGCGTACTTTGATTAACATAGGCCGTGTCATACTTGATGTCCATGTTAGTTTCTTTTTGCACTTAGATTAATACATTTTATTTTATTTTGTAAATAAATTTTACACAGATATTCTGGGTATTTGGCGGGGGGTGTTGTTTGCCTTTAGTCAGTCTTCGTGCTTCCCTATTTCAGGTGTGTGGATATCGGATAAAACTGCACTTTGATGGATATTCTGATTGCTATGACTTCTGGGTAAACGCGGATGCTCTCGATATTCACCCGGTTGGGTGGTGTGAGAAAACTGGCCACAAACTCCATCCTCCAAAAGGTGGTGTCACTTTTTTTGTTTCATACTTTAAATTCTGCAAGAACTTTTTTTAATTTATTAGTTAACTTATTTTTTATAGTAAATATAATTTATCGTCAAAAAACCTTTTTTCTTACATGGTGATTTGGAATTTTTAGGAATTCAGACTTTGTTAAGATGCACATAGGCCCAAATTCAAGCTCATTGTTCATGAAAAAAACCCCAAAAACGTGTATTAAAGTGACAGAAATGTAAAAAGTAGAACCCTACGTAAGAGAGTAAACTGTGTCCATGTACTTATTTGTATACAAATTAACATTTGACTGATACTTAATTTTGAGTATAAATTTTAGTTACAGATTTTTTTTTCATTTAGTCCCCCACCTACCGGCTCTAACCGGGGCTACACACAGTTGATCCTCGAATAACCCAGAGGTTAGGGGTGCCAACCCCCAGCACAGTTGAAAATCCACATGTAACTTTTGACTTGCTAAAAACTTAATTACTAACAGCCTACTGTTGCCCAGGAGCTTTACTGGTATAACAGAGTCAATTAACATATGTTTTGTAAATTACATATATTACACACTGTATTCTTACAATAAAGTAAGCTAGAGAAAAGGAAATGTTATGAAGAAAATCATAAGGATGAGTGGGCCTGTACTGTGCAAACCTGTGTTGTTCAGGGTCAAAGATACATATCCTTGAAAAAACAGATTTGAAAACTTTGTCCCAACGTGTTTACATGACTGAGCTCATCTACTGATATTTCATTATATAGAAAATCTTGAGAAATTATGAATTGAACTTATAGATCTTAATATTTAGGCACTTACGAAGGAGAATGTAGTGCTAAAAGTTGATTTAGGTGGGGATTGAACTCATAGCAATTACATTTTTATTGCTGAGTTCTTTGTAATACAGTCTGCCAGTGGTTTTGCCTGTTTCGTGTTTACATAAAGATCCAAGAATAATAGATCCCATCTTTTTCAGTCCATCCCTAATGTATTTAATAGTATCTTATTTCCTTCCTTTTCAAGGGTTACATTTGGTATTGTTTACTTGATGTCAAAGATCCAGGTGACTGGTTTGATATTTTTGGCCTGTCTCGGGGCTGTTACTTTTTAATGGACTAGCCGTCCTTTGGTTTTAAGTGAAAAATAATGTCAGACTAGCATTTTCAGATGGCTGAGGAAAAAATGAGAAAAAATGAGGGTGAAAAAGAAAATCTGTAAGCCTTTGTATAAATTGACCTCTTGTATATGGCGAATTATTAGCTATTCTTTTCATGCTGCCTTCTGAACTGTAACGGAAGGAGAAGAGAGCACATGAGCAGATAAAATAAAATGCTCAATTTCCTTTTTAAAGGAAATGTTGGCTTTAACAGCATTAAATGTGAAATTGTGAGCATTAAGGCAAGCACATTTCCATTATTGTAATTTGCCAGCATGCTTACTTCATAAATCTTGAATTGTCATTCTTGTGCTGATAGGCTGAAAAGATTTTATCTCTTTTATTACTGTTTTCTCCAGCTTCCCACTTGTTCTGACAAGTTAGCCTCCCAAAATAGAATAGGTGAGGGAAAAATGAATTTCCCCAGATTTTGACTCCTCCAGTTCACTAGTCTACTGCTGAGTAGTTCTGCCTAAATACTGATAGAAACAGCCTGGCAATAAGAAGTGTACCTGGGTATGATACATATTTGCTTCCTTTTGCCTTTTCTTTGTGTCTATTATCCTTCATTCAGCACAGAAAATATAATACAATTTGTTGGGAATAAACACAGCCTGTGTAAGAAAAAAAAAATCCATAGTTCTGAATTATGAGTTCAGTTTTGTCTGTTTAAAAAATCAATTATTTGATTTCAGCATGTTGGAGTTGTAGGTAAAAGTGGGAATGGAAACTTAAGTGTGAAATATTTTGATATTTTACTCAATCTGTATATATGTGCTTATCCAAGGTTATAAAGAAGAAGAATTTAATTGGCAGACCTATCTAAAGACATGCAAAGCCCAAGCTGCTCCCAAGTCATTATTTGAAAATCAGAATATAGTAAGTACATCCAAGATACTTTTCCTTTTAAAGGAGGTGACTTTTGAGTGTTTGATAGGATAAAGTATAAATGATAACAAGAGACTAAATATATTTTATTGCTTTGGTAAATAGAGCACTCTTCATTAAACTTTAAAATTAGCTTAAAATCATTGTGAATCAATGTTTTTTATAGGCATATCATGGTTGTTGTGTTTTATTGAATGGTAGAAGGCTACAGAGTTTGAAACCCAGGTGTAATTTGCAGTGAAAGTGCAGAACAGATTAAATTGACTCGGATATTTTATTGTTACTGTCACGTGTTTCAAGTACTGTTGAAGTGGGATTCATGTGGTAGATGAATGTAGCCCAGTTTGGATTTACTGCTGGGGAAGAGGATTTACCTTCACCCCGGCTTGTAGCTTTATTTTGCCTATAACAGAAGCAAAGTCTGAATGTGTATGCATTTCCTACCTTTTTTGACCTGTATTCCCACTTTCCATTGCATGTTCCCTGTTGCACCTCTGAAGAGGCCCATCATGTTCCACTCTTCTTCCTTGTCCAAGGTTTGGTCTAATTGGAATTAACAGAGAGCAAGCAGGTGCAAAGCCAAAATGTCCTCTTTTATAGCGGATAAAGGCTCAGCTGGAGTACCCGCATGGCCTCTGTCTGCTGACGATTGAGCTTCTTGATTCTGAGACCTAGAATTAATGAGATGTACTGGCCCTTCCGCCCCATCACCCAGGCCCAGGAGCACTAGAGCAGGGCAGGCCTGCACTCTTGCAGGTCTAGAGCATGCCCCTAGAGGAGCACAGTGCAAGCTCCATGCCCTCTAGGCCAGCTTACCCTTAAGAGTACGATGAGTTCCTCCTTTCAGATTCACCAGTCAGGTAACAGTGAGTGAGACTGCAGAAAGAGACGATCATGTTTCAATAATGGGATTCTCTCCAAAAGGAGATGAATATCAGGGGTGGGCAAGACCATCTCACCCACTCCAAACACCTTCCATTTGGGAAAGGATTTTAACCAGTTGTTTTGAGCATCTAATGGCTGAAAGATTCTCTGATCAAATTAGACATAAGCCAGGTTGAATTAGAGAACTGAAGGGGTGTGTGTGTGTGTGTGTGTGTGTGTGTGTTTAGGTAACTAATAGAGCTAATGAGCCAGATTATTATTTTAAAATCTCATAATCGAGAGGAGAGCTTAATTGCCGAAATGTAAATACTGCGTTGTCAGCAGCTATTCTCTGTCAAGACGAGGGAGGAAGGTCAGTTAGGTGGAAAACTTAAGTGGCCTGCTCCACGTTTCCTAATCCCTGTCTGGATCTCTGATGTTGAGATCAGTCAGGGATTTGATTAACTGCCTTGAACCGTCATCTTCAATTCTGTGCATTGCTAGCACACAACTGAATCTTGGGCTCTGCGTTTGGTATCCAAGAAGCAATTAATTTTTCTATTTCTGGATTCGTCTACCTCAGAATATTCAAATATCTGTGGTCAGAACCCTGGTAAATAATTTCAGGACTAAAATGTACTGTCCCAGTGTCTGTGCAGCATTAACGCCTGCTCCTTCTATTCATGTGGGATGTATGCTAACATTTTCAGTACGTGGCTGTCTACATTTTTGGAATGATAGCTGCATAATTATAGTAAAATGAGAGATAACATCTGTTCTGCTTAAAGTAATTAGAATAGTATCTGTATACTTAAGTCTGGACAGAGCTTTTTCTTAAGAGGGATAGAAATAACACTCGTGTGTTATGATTGGCATAACTGATCCAAGTACATTTCTCCGAGTTCAGATAGATTTCCTCACACGAGATTCTAAGGAATGCTTACATTTTACTGCACCTCAAGCACTAAATCTTATTGAGCTATATTATTGTCTTAGTTCCACGTCCCAGATGGCTGGTAATGTTTGGCTTTCCTTATATTACCAACTGTTTTGAATGGCTGTATGTATCCAGCCAGTTCTTTTGGTGCTATTGTGAATAATATCTGTAGTGTTAGGTAAAAGTTGTAATAATTTGCAGCCTCTCATGTATGAAGATGACCTACTTTCAGTAGAGTACTCTTTTGAGAGAGCATTTCAGAAATGGGAGTGAACTTGTACTGACTCATATGCATTTCTAGCTTGATGAAGTGCATATTTTGCATGAAATAATTTTCATTGTTAAGTCTGTAATCAAGAACAAGAAAAACAAAAAGTGAACTAAATGGCGAAGAAAACTTGCCTAACTAGTATAGCTGTCTAACTGCGGTCCAAAACACATATTAAATTTAATTAAACTCTGTGAGGTTGTGGGTGTCTTAGTCTTGAGGTCCAGATAGTTATTTGGATGTACCAATGAGGCATTTTTTTCCCCCTTCTTGCTGCTTGGTGGAAATTGACCTGGCATAAAACTGGTACATGCTCTTTAAATTACGTGAACATAGCTGATGCATGCCAGGTCCTGGAGCAGGACGTGTAGAGAGGGTGCAGATCTTGCTGTTAAGTGTGTGCTTATCTCTAATTAAATCTGCACGTTTCGTAGACAGTGATCCCATCAGGCTTTCGAGTTGGAATGAAGCTTGAAGCCGTAGACAAAAAGAATCCTGCGTTCATCTGTGTTGCTACGGTGACAGATATGGTGGACAATCGTTTCCTGGTACATTTTGACAACTGGGATGAGAGCTATGACTATTGGTGAGACCTTTTCCATTGCTGTGTGCTTTGGTTCGCAGGTGTATTCAGGTCAATTTGGTGCATGGTTGGAAAACAAAGATGATGCAGAGCTTGTAACAAAAAAGAGCAGTGCTCTGTCCCACTCTTTCACATTTCAGATTTTTCACTCTTTCCCTATTTCACATGGCATGTATTTCTAAATAGCAGCCTTCAGTTTAACTTTGTGCCTTGTATTTTCACTCACTTCCTGCTGCGGAAGTACAGTGTACCTTCCTCCCAACACATGTGCACGTACAAGTGCATGCAGGTGCGTACCTCCCCCCTCATCCTGGGTGTTGTTTATTGTTTTCTGAGAAGACGTGTGAATTTTCCTTCATATTTTTATTCCCTGTAGCAATTTTAACCATTTATAATTGCCAAATACACATCTATTAATTGAGGAATATTGTTTTTAATCCTTAGAGTTTTGGGATATACTGCATTAAGTAATAGGAACAATATATTATAAACTTCTATAACTGTACTTAAAATAAAGTCATCATATTTTGATTAAGCAATGGGAATAATGATTCCCATATCTAATTCATGTTGATTGATCATTACTATTCAGTTTCCTGGTGAAAGGCATTTCTGAAGTGTTTAATTTCTTCCTAGGACACTGGCGATGAGAACATTTTAGAGCAGTGACAGATATCTTTATAAAATATGGCTAACATTACAGTATTAACTGAATATTAATTTGTATAGGTATTGCTACATTTGAGGGAAGCTTGTTTCCTAACCTTACTTTTTAGTATGCATACGTTTAAAAATTGAGTAGAACCATCAATAATTTCCATTACCCCCAAATTGGATTCTTAGACACTCATCAGTTTTCCTTACACTGTTTTAAAAAGGAGAGGCATTGAAAGCCATTTGCCATTCACATTTTTAAAATGCTTTCTATTATGCATTATACATGCTTTTTACAGATTTTTTTAAGTGTAGACAAGTAGTTCCATGATTACACCACACAGAGTCGAGTACTTTTGAATATTTTGGTGTGTTTTTCCTCAGCTTTTTTCTGCAAAGCATAATCTCCCCATAAGATGTCTTTTTACTTAGCTTGCCATAAACATTTTTATTGAAATATAGACCATTTCGGGGCGCCTGGGTGGCGCAGTCGGTTAAGCATCCGACTTCAGCCAGGTCACGATCTCGCGGTCCGTGAGTTCGAGCCCCGCGTCGGGCTCTGGGCGGATGGCTCAGAGCCTGGAGCCTGTTTCCGATTCTGTGTCTCCCTCTCTCTCTGCCCCTCCCCCGTTCATGCTCCGTCTCTCTCTGTCCCAAAAATAAATAAAAACGTTGAAAAAAAAAAAAAAGAAATATAGACCATTTCAAGCATGTACAAAGGTAGAATAAAAAAATGTAGAATAATAGTGACCCACCCACACCCATTATACAACACTAACGGTTATCAATTTAACACAACCGTTACCATTTGCGTTTCTCACTCTTGTTCTCTCTGTATTCCTTCTAAAATCCTAACTCCAGGATTGTTCTGAAGCAGATTTCAGTATCATAGCACTTCATCTGTGTATATTTCAGTATGTATGTTTTAAAGATAAGGATTCTTTTTCTTCAAATATGTAATGTTATGAATGCCATAATGTCACTACTTAACCATTCTTCCCAATTGCCTTAGTTTTGTTTTTGTTTTTGTTTTGAGGCTTGGTAGTTTTAGGTCCTATATAAGGTATACACTTTGTGATTGTTTTGATGTTTCACTTGATCTCTTTTAATAGATTCCTATTCCTCTCTATCCCTTCCCCTTGTAACTTTTTTTTTTTTTTAAACATTTATTTATTTTTGAGACAGAGAGAGAGAGAGCATGAACAGGGGAGGGTCAGAGAAAGAGGGAGACACAGAATCTGAAACAGGCTCCAGGCTCTGAGCTGTCAGCACAGAGCCCGAGGCGGGGCTCAAACCCACAGACCTCGAGATCATGACCTGAGCCGAAGCCGGACGCTTAACTGACTGAGCCACGCAGGCGCCCCTCCCCTTGTAACTTTTATTGAAGATATCACGTCGTTTGTCCTGTTGAGTCTCCTATAGTCTGGATTTGCTAATTGAATTCTTGTATTGCTTACCATGTTCATCTGTTCCTCATAGTCCTTTTTCTTTTTAATGTTTATTTATTTTTGAGAGAGATCGAGAGAGTGTGAGCGGGGGAGGGGCAGAGAGAGAGGGAGACACAGAATTTGAAGCAGGCTCCAGGCTCCCAGCTGTCAGCACAGAGCCCGACGCAGGGCTCAAACCCACAAACCGCAAGATCATGACCTAAGCAAAGCCAGACGCTCAACTGAGCCACCCAGGAGCCCCTGCTGCTCATAGTTCTTCTTGGTGGTTTTTGTTTCATTCAAAATTATTTATACCTAACTTGAATGAGTGAATGGATGAGAAAACTTTAAATTTAGTAACACTGCAAATCTGCTCTGGAGTCAAATGTGTTTCTCCCCTCCGGTGTTGGATGTACTGTGATGTTGGCAGTCCCAGAGTGATGACCAGATCCAATCCTGTCATTAATAAGGGACACTTTAGGGGCGCCTGGGTGGCGCAGTCGGTTAAGCGTCCGACTTCAGCCAGGTCACGATCTCGCGGTCCGTGAGTTCGAGCCCTGCGTCAGGCTCTGGGCTGATGGCTCAGAGCCTGGAGCCTGTTTCCGATTCTGTGTCTCCCTCTCTCTCTGCCCCTCCCCCGTTCATGCTCTGTCTCTCTCTGTCCCAAAAATAAATAAACGTTGAAAAAAAAAAAAAAAAATAAGGGACACTTTAGGGGCTCCTGGCTGGCTCAGTTGGAAGAGCTTGTGACCTTCTCAGGGTCATGAGTTCGAGCCCCATTCTGGATGTAGAGATTACTCAAATAAATTATAATTTAAAAAAAGAATGATACTTTAAAGCACTTGTTGGTTAAAATGAGCACTTTTGGTTTTAAAGTTCTGATTCATTTAGGGAGATTTTTGTTTTTTAGCTTTTTTCTGATTTAAACAAAATGGGTAAATGTTAGTGTGTTATTTTTGTGGTCTTAGAAGTATTAGAGAATTTTAAAAGTGTAAGTCATTTATTTGACATGAGGTGTGTTTCCTTTAAAAACATTCTTCTAAAAAAATAAATAAAAAAAATAAAAACATTCTTCTAGAAAAAAGTAATGAAAAGCATGGAAGATTTTGTCACATTCAGTTTTCTTTGATTCCAAATGCCTGGGGAATAGGAAAGATCCTGGATTCTTTTTTTAGAAAGAGCAGAGAAGAAAATTGATCTCTTTTAGTACTGATTTTTATACTTTTATGAGCACAAACTAATTATTTTTAGGACAGAATGTACTTTGAGGAATTACTTATACTATTGACATGAAACCATATTTTATTAATTGTCAGAAGAAGAGTACAGTGTGTTCTCTTTCTCAATATCCAATTAAGGCACATTGAAAATTGCTAAAGTGCACTGGAATTTCTCCAGCTTTAGTAAATAGTATATTCTTTGATCTTTGAATTCTGGAATGGTTTTTATCTGCATAAATTACTTGTTTAGGTATGTAATTGAGGTTACAAATTGGATCGCTTTCCCAATTTAAAATAGTTGGGAAGTGAGATTGTTTTTTTCCCTTTGAAGTTTCTTTCTTTATTTTGAGAGAGCCAGAGAGTGAGAGTGGGGGAGGGGCAGAGAGAGGGGCAGACAGAGAGAATCACAAGTAGGCTTGAGTGCAGAGCCTGATGTGGGACATTAACTCATGAACCACAAGATCATGACCTGAGCCGAAATCAAAAGTCAGATGCTTAATCGACTGAGCCACCCAGGCATCCCCCCCCCTTTTTTTTTTTAAAGTTTATTTATTTAGATTTTTTTTCCCCTTTGAATTGGATAGTGATCTTACCTCTTTTTACCTTAGTGGGATATTGAAAACATATACAGTTGACCCTTGAACAGTGTGGGGGGTAGGAGCCCTCACCCCCAGTGCAGTCACAAATTTGTGTATGTTTTGACTCTCCCCATACTTAGCAGCCTACTGTTGACTGGAAGCCTTACTGATAACATAACCAGTTGATGAACTTGTATTTTGTAAAAGTATTATTTACTGTATTCTTACAATAAAGTAAGCTAGAGAAAAGAAAATGCTAGTAAAAAAATCATAAGGAAAACACATTTACAGTAGTGTACTATATTGAAAAAAAATACGTTAGTGAGCCCGTGCGGTTCAAACACCTGTTGTTCAAGGGGCACCTGTATAAGTCTGGGTACATTTGTGGTAAAACATACTTAGTTGCAATAAAACATTTTTTCCCTCCATAGAGGAAAATGGAAACTTAATGCAGGATTGAAGTCATTTTTTTTTTACAAAAGGAAAATACTGTATCTTAGAATAAAACTTGCTTTACCTCTAGGTTTCCTATGTGCTTTTATTCCTGGTAATTGTTAGCGGCTTAATTCTATCCCCTTGACAGTCATTAGACTAATTAATAATCCTAAGTATCTCAGAATAGACCTAGAAAGGGCTTGAAAGATGGGGAGGAAAGCAGCCATTGAGGTGAGGATGCCCCTGTGCGTAGGCTGTCCTCAACACCTGCTGCCCGAGGACTGGACTCCACGACAGAGCATGCTGTGTGAAGGAGCACCCCTCTCTTCCCCCAGGCACTGGCAAGGAACCTTCCTTGGGGAATTCTTATTTGCATGTGATCTGGTCTTTTGGGAACTGGGAAGGCATGGCAGGACTTAGCAGATGATCGAGTAGAATAGCCGTCACAACGGAATTACAGCTTCAGCTTTCCCTGAATCTCAGTCCAGTGTCCCAGTGAGGCAGGGCAGAAAAGTCAACAAGTAGATCAATGAAAACGAGAAGTACTGAGTTACTGAAGTAGAACAAGCATGGGGCTAGGACCTTTTCCTGATTGTCTCTAAGTGTACTCCAAACTTCAGTTTAATTTTAGCGATGGAGTTCTTTTACCTTTATAAATTGAGAGTAATAGCAATATTATGTGTCTCCTC